CCTTCCCCTTCCCCTTCTCCTTCTCCTTCTCCTTCTCCTTCTCCTCCTTCCCCTTCTCCTTCTTCTCCTTCTTCTCTTCCTCCTCCTCCTCCTCTTCCTCCTCCTCTTCCTCCTCCTCCTTCTTCTCCTTCTCCTTCATCTTCTTCTTTCTAATATTACCAATGTCCTGTAGTGGAGCAGTTTAATTCCTCTTCTGTTTGTAATGTATCAAAATCTAGCAATGATATTGCTAATTCTCTTCTTAATTTTCACTTTCTAATAGCATTTCCACTTTTTTTAGCTAGTAAATATTCATACCTGTAAAAGACTTAGAAGAGACTTATAAAGAAATGTTTTGTTTTAAAATTTAAAATCCATTAATTTATAAAAAATAAAAAATTAAGAACATATTTTAAAGACCATATTTCTTTTAAAAATTATAAAAATATAAGCATATAAATGAAAATGATAGCTAACACTTTCTGAATAGTAGCTAATTCTGAAAGCCAGTGACATAGAAGAGTGAAATTATACAAGCAGGCGTCCAGTGAGGAATAAAGTAGTAATCAAAGTAGAAAAAGAAGGCAAAAGGGTTAGAGGGGGATTTTAATCTGTGACATTAAAAATAATTTATATATTGAACAAATAAATATATTAAAGAAATAAATCCTATAGTTCAACATTTTTGATAATTCTACAGTGACGCTAAAAGGAGTTAAAATTTAAGCTATCCATTATATAATTAGAAGTGAGTATTTTTATTGCAGCGTGCTGCATTTACACTTCACTTGGACCATTGGAGACTGTACGATCTCTGATGTGCAGCAAAAGGTACAACGTGTTTTTCAATAGCTTGTCATTTTTTACAGCTCATGCTCAGCATATATCCCAAAGCTTTGAATCAAAGCTGGCTTCCTTCTGTTCATTTTGGTTGACAAGAAGTTATATTAGCCTTATATCTAACAGTTAAGCCTGATGATACTTGTATTTCTTTTTTTCTTTTCTTTCTTTTGTGGCTGGTTCAGCCTGCTGTGGGGCTGGGCTGCCCTGGCATGTGATGCCAAGATTGAACCATGGTCCCTGCATTTGCCTAAGCTTGCCTAAGCAGGTGCTTTAGACTGCTGAGCTCTCTTGTTAGCCCCAATACCTGTATTTCTTGGAGGACATGATAATTAACAATTGACTAGGTGATGAGTGATTGTAGAAAGCTCATTCAAGAGACTAGTTCCTGAGGGGGCCCCCAAATGCATGTCCTTCTTTATTTAGTGAAGGATTTGAGAGTTTTGTATGAAGGAGGATTAGGCCTAGCCATTGACTGAAAGTGAGCATGGAGTGTCAGGTTGTTTCTTTAAAGTTTACTGTGTAGTAGATAAGTATTTTTCTTGGACTGTCAATTAATTTGAGCAGGCTGGCCCCAAATTTGGAATTTACAAGAGGATTTGATTCTTTTATATACTTGACACTCAGCAAAGTCTTTCATCATCTGCCATAACCTTTATATTTATTATGCAGAGTTAAACGGGGTGATACCATCACTCCATCAATTTTTTAAATCATTAAGTAGAGATATTGAGTAACCCATTTGAAGTTTTATTCTTTGTGAAGGCTTATTGTAAGCTTAGGCACCATAACCTCAAGTGGAAACTTATTTTGCTCAAAGCAAAACCTGAACGAGACTGTAGTATAGCCATACCAAAAGCACCATCAGGAGCCTTTTGGCTCAATGTGGCTTCTCATGGAAGTCCTAACTGCCCAAGAAAAATGCATGGATTGTGCAGCCAATGTACAAAAACCACAGGTGTTCTTTCTAATTGTATATTTCCATGGTAATGCACACTCCATGGATTCAACGGTTGCCCAGCTTGGTTATTCACTTTTTACTTATTCTTTGCTAATGGGAGATAGAGGTTCTGAGCAGCAATAAATAATGAACAGCAACTAAACACTTTTATTTGCTTATTTTGAACAATGAATATATATTATATATATATACATATATATACACACACATATGTATATATAGTATGTATATAAAATATATTTGAAACAAAACAGAAACTTGTAGAATGGTTCAAAACATACCTGGTGAATAAAAAAACTCCCATTCCCAAAAAGGAAGTAAAGATTTTGATGGTTTTCCATTTGGCCATTTACCAGAATATTTTATCTTTAATATCCTGTGTATTATATTTAACAAAATTGCATCAGCACTGAGAGAGACCATTGGTTATTTTAAAATTTATGAACGTCAATAATTTCGTTCAAAATTGGAAAGTCTTACTTTTATGCAGTAAGAATGATAGGAAGATACAGACTTTTTTGGAGATGGGGAAAGTGCTGGAGATTGAACCCAGGCACTCATGCATGCTAAGCATGCTGAAATTCTAGGAAGTTATACATGACATTTTGGTAAAAAATAAATTAATGTTTACCATCACCAGTGATTTTGCTCTTTGGAGAAATCCTGTAGCTAATCCTCTGGTAAGGTAAGAAATTATTTTTTGTGACTCAATTTTGAATTAATAGATTATCAATTGTTGGAATGTCAGTACTTTTAGAAGTGTGTAGTTCACTCTCCTCCTCGTACAATTAAAGATACAATGACACACTGGTTCAGTGACTTACAATTGGTCATATAATTAGTTACTGATTTAGTCCTAAACCTCTTCTAATTTTAAATAATTATGTCCACTATAGTCTTGTTGAATTTGCTTTCTAAGAAATCAATAATTTAAGCTTCAGAAAACTCAGTTATATGTGTAGATTTTTTTAAAAAAGAATTGCAATTTCTAGACTATGTAATGAAATTATTAACTTAAAGAAACCCAAAACATTTTTAATTATGACACATAATTACTGTCACAGGCTCTGCTAAAAATGGACTGCCAAGGGTTAGTAGCACATCTAATTCAAGAGGCTGTTATTTTGACTTCAGCTGTCAAGCTTGGAAAAGACTGGAGGGAACTCGCTGAAAAGTTAGTGAGACTCACAAAGCAACAAATGAAGGCATATGAAATTCCCCACCAAGGAAAAACTGGTGATGTTGCTGCTGAGGTGAGATTTATTTATTTATTTATTTAGTTTTCATTTGATGAAGTAGTGAACAGTTGCAGAACAAATGAAATGTGTGATCAAGCCGGTAAAACAAGGAAACATCCAGATCCACTAACTGAAATCACTACTTCTGTAACTGATCAAAATTATCTGAAATATCCATACATTATTATTAAGAGCCTTGAAAATATATTGATGGTTCCCCTTGAATCTCATATTAACCTGCCTCTGGTAAAATGAACTGATTAAATGGGTCACTAATAGACAAGGGAATAAAAACTTGAAATACAGAACAATTAAATTTTGAAGGGAAGCAATTGGCCCAAGACAAAGCAAGGGTGGAGAACATTAATAAAATGTTCATGAGCCTCAGACATTGGCTTATTCATTTGTCACAAACATTGCTGAATGACAGGAAGGAGTAAGCGGGTGGGTCATGTGAGACCCCTGGGCGTGAACAAGGGAGACATCTTGCATTTACAATCATCCCTACACTGTTCATACATTACAAACTACAGATACCAAAGGGAGACTGGCAGAGCTTATGACAAATTAAACTTTTGTTATGTAAACGCTATTGTTTTTTACATTTTACATTTCATTGCTACATTTAGATTACATAGTGACACACTCATCATAGAGAATTTGCACCTGCACATAATACATCTGGATTCTTCTTTTCCCCCAATCTCTCCCCATCCCTTTATCTTTCTTCCCCCCTTATTTACAAAACCTTTGATTCCATTTTTCCCACTTATTGTCTTTTTTTCTTCTCTAGTCCTTCTCCTCCTCTTTAGTTCCACTTCCAGTTTAAATGTTTCTCTTACCATTTCCCAGTGTTTATTATACGATCTTTTATTTTTAAGAGAAAAAAACAATAAAAATAGCACAAAATTTCAAAAAAGATAATAGGAGAATGAGTAACAATGGTTAGCACATTGCTATTGTTATATTCAAAGTAGTTGCTTATATTACAACATATAAGCATGAAAAATTGATCAAATGATATAAGCACAAGCTATTCTATAATAATAAATATTAGCACTATATTTATGTTAACTATTTTGCAAATTCATATATATTTTTTCCCTTTGTCTTTGTTCTTTTCTCCTTTCCCCCATCCCAACTGTCCTTTATTTTTGAACAGTTTCTTCCCATTTCTCAGTAAGTATTGCACATGTTGGATGTTACTTACTCTTTCGGTTTCTTATACTTGGGAGGCAGTATGATGTTCATACGAATGAGATTAATATATTTCACTATGAGTATGGTCTCTAGTTGCATCCATTGATCTCTAAAAGCCTCAAGTTTATCCTTCTGAGTAGTATTTCTTATATAAAAATAGCACAAGTTTTTCATACATTCCTTGGTTGATGGACATTTGGGTTGTTTCCAAGATTTAGCTATTATGAATTGTGCTGTTATACATAGATACACATATATCACTGTGGTATGATGTTTTTAATTCTTCTGGGAAATACCCAGAAGGGAAATTGATGAGTCAAAAGGAACTTCTAATCTTAACTTTTTGAGGAATCCCCACCCAGATTTCCACAATGGTTGAACCAGTCTATACTCCCACAAATAGTGCAGAGGGTTCCATTTCCCCACACCTCATCAGTATTTATTATTGGTTGATTTCTTCATGATAGGTCTCCTTTGGTTCCATATTAATTTTAGGAATGCTTTCCTGAGACCTGTGAGGTATACTGATGGCATTTGATTGAAATTGCATTAAATTTGTGCAACAGTTTTGAGAGAGTGAGGATGGCCACTTTTACAATGTTGGTTCTTCCTGTCCATGAGCAGTGGATATCCTTCACTTTTCTGATATCTCCATCTCCTTTTTCAGAGTACTGTAATTTTTAAATGTATAGAACTTTTACTTCCTTAATTGACTTATTCCTAAGCATTTCACTTTCTTGTATGCTATTGTGAAGGGGTAGTTTTCCTAATTTCTCTCTCAGTGAGTTTGTTGTTCATGATAGGAATGCCATTGATTTTTGAGAGACTCAAATTTAATCCAGCTACACTACTGGATATAGTTATTAAATCCAGAAGTATTTTGGTGGAATTTTAGGGGCCTTTTATGTAGAGTACTGTGTCATCTGTGAATAAAGACAGTTTAACTGCTTTCTTGTCTAATTGCTCTGGATAATGTTTTTCCAGAACTATATTGAGTAGGAGTCGGGATAGTGTACCTCCTGATCTTGTTCCCGATTTTCTAACAAAAGCTTTCAGTTTTCTCCCATTTAGTATGATGTTGGGTGTTCATTTGTCATAGATAGCTTTTATGAGGTGGAGATAAAGACTATTTCAATTTTCTGTAAGGATTTTTTTGATGAATGAGTGATGAATTTTGTAAAAAGCTTATTCTACATCTATTGCAGTGATCATGTGATTCTTTCCTTTGGCTCTGTGAAAATGGTGTAATACATTTGTCAATTTGTGTGTATTGATCCATCCCTGCATTCTTAGGTGAATCCCACTTGATCATAATCTCTCTCTCTCTCTCTCTCTCTCTCTCTCTCTCTCTCTCTCTCTTTTTCTTTCTGTATGTGCAGGGTCCCACTGTGAAGCTTGGACTTGTAGTGATCCTCCTGTTTTCAGCCTCCCTAGTGCTGGGATTATAGATGTGTGCCACCAGGCCTGGACTCTATCACTGTCATAGTGCACCTGGGAGTGCGACTGGAATGGCATGAGGTGCCTGGCCTTCGCATTTATCTAAGCAAGTGCTTACTTAGTCCACTGAGCTATCTCACCAGCCCTGGTCATAATATTCTTGATAATTTGCCACATTCTGTTTGCTAATATCTTATTGAGTAGTTTTTTGTCTATGTTCATTAGGGAGATTAGCCTGTAGCTCTCTGTTTTGACTTGGGCTTTCTTTGGTTTTGGTGTCAGGGTAATACTTTCCTCAAGGAATGAGTTAGGGAGGATTTCTTCCCTTCCAATTTTGTTAAACAGTTTGAGGAGTATTGGTATTAAATCTTCTTGAAATTTCCTTTAAAATTCAGTAGTAAATCTGTCAGGATATGGGCTTTTATTTATTTTTAATTTTTAAATTACATTTTCAATCTCATTAACTAGTGTTGGTTTACTCAGAATTTTTATACCTTATAGATTCAGCTTTTGTAATTCATAGGTATCTAGTAATCTCCATTTTTTTCATATTTTCCATTCTGTGAGAGTAGTTTTTTTTTTTAATGTATTTAGTACAGGGTCTCACTATGCAGCTCAGACTCCTAGTGATCTTCCCCTTTTCAGCTTCACCACCCCTGGGATTACAGTCATGTGCCACCATGCCCAGTCTCAGTGGCCAGCTCTGTACACCCAGGGGCGGGGCTGGCAGGGCATGTGGTGTAGGGGATCAAACACTGGTGCCTGCACTTGCCTAATCATGTACTTAGTCTACTGAGCTATCTTGCCAACCCTGAGTGTAAAGATTTTTGAAGTAGGTATTATTGATTTTTTTTAAAAAAAATCCATTTAGTACGGGATCTACAGGGTCTCACTACACAGATAGGACTTGTATTGATCCTTCCTGTTTTTCAGCCTCCAAAGATGCCACTATGCCCAGTCTCAATTGCTGGCTCAGCACACCCCAAGGGTGGGGCTGGCACAGTAGACCAGGGATCAAAAACCTGGCCCCTGTGTCTGCTTAAGCAGGCTCTGATGATCTTTTGAATTTCTACCAAATCTGCAGTGATTTCACCCTTTTATTTCCTCAATCATGAATTTGAGTTTTTTGTTTCCTTTCTTGATAAGGTTGGTGAGGGTTTATCAACTTTATTTATTCTTTCAAAGAATCAACTCTTCGTTATTTGTATTGCGTTCTTAGTTTCCATTGTGCTTTGTTCTGATCTTTATAATTTCCTCTCTTGTATAAGCTTTGAGTTTTTCTTGCTCATATTTTTCTAGAAGCTTGAGGTGAAACATTAGGCTATTTATTTCTGCTTATTCTGATTTTGTATTGTGATAGGGTCTTTTTTTTTTTTTCCTAATTTAGGAAAGGGTCTACAGGGTGTTCAGGGTCTCCTACTAGATCAGACTCATAGTGATCCACCTGTTTACAGCCTCCCAAGAACTGGGATTACAGGTGTGCGCCAGCACACCCAGTCTCAATAGCCATCTCAGCGTGCCCTGGGGCCAGCATGACAGGCCCGGGGAATCGAACCCCCGGCCCCTGCGCCTGCTTGCATGTTTTGTATTGTGAGAATTCACCACTATAATTTGTCTCTTAGGATTGTTTTCATTGTGTTCCATAAGTTCTGCTACACTATATCTATTTCTGTATTTAGTTGAAGGTATTGTTTAATTTCTTCAATTTCATCTGTGACTCACTGGTTGTTTAGGACGGTGTTATTTAATTTCCATGTGTTTTTGTGGCTTCTTTTGCCTGTAATTTCCCATTTCATTGCACTATGGTCAGATAATATGCATGGGATAATTTCAATTCCTTCTCATTTACTTCAGCATGTTCTGTGGGCCAGCATATGGTCTATTTTAGAGAGTGTCCCATGTGCAGCTGAGAAGATTTAGTACTCTGATAATGGTAAGTGGAACACTCTAAAATCAAATATTAGGACGACCCACGGCCTTCCGGATCCTGAACAGACCCACAGTGCAGGCCTGGCGAGTGAGTGAGAAGATCCAGGGCCACGGGATCCTGAACAGACCCAGAGCGCAGGCCCGGAGAGTGAATGAGATGACCCAGGGCCTTCCGGATCCTGAACAGACCCAGAGCGCAGGCCTGGCGAGTGAGTGAGTCGACCTGGGGCCCTCCGGATCCTGAATAGACCCAGAGCGCAGGCTTGGCGAGTGAGTGAGATGACCTGGGCCGCGGGATCCTGAACAGACCCAGAGTGCAGGCCCAGCGAGTGAGTGAGAGGAGATGACCTGGGGTCCTCTGGATCCTGAATAGGCCCAGAGCGCAGGCCCGGTGAGTGCGTGAGCCGACCTGGGGCCCGTGGATCCTCATTTGACCCCGGCTGCATGCA